ATAATCTGAAAGTGTGGACCTGTCTCCAACTGAAGTTCTTCTGGGAGTCAGAGCTACTTCAAGGGACAATTGATCAGAGGAATGTGTTCCCATCGCCTTATGTTTTGTTAGCCAGGGGTTTGTGAAAGACTTGTGACTAAACGGAAGAAGCTCAGAGGATTGACACCCTTAGGACATTCCAAGATCTGTTTATTCTTCAACAATGTGGTTTTGAGAAAAGTCAGCTTTACTGTAACAAAGGATCATCCCTGTGACATTATTTGGAAGTCATCATTGGAGTTCTTGTCATGTCTAATTGGCTTGTAACGTATCAAATGTGAAATGTTCAGTCTCTGACCACTGTTGTTGAAAAGAAGTTAAATAGTCATTGTCCTAGCTGCATTAGATTGGAGTGTTCACTGCTAGTAACTTTTGTTATTGCATTTGGATTCTTCAGTCTTCACAGGAGGCTAAGACAGGCTGGTAAGAATGATTTTTTTTTATCACATTCTGCACTGTTCATCAGTTAAGTTATAGATTTAGCTGAAATTCATACTGCACATGCATGTTCCCAATCCAGTTACCTAACAGTAGCAAATAAACTAAGGAAGCAGACTGTTTCAAAGCAATGGTAGCCCTATTCAAAAACAATTGAAAACAGCTAGTTGTAGATAGACAGTGTATCTATCATCACTTTATCTCTCAGTTGCTATGGGCACTATAACTGGTCAATTTCACCCTTTGGCTTGCCAAATCAAAAAGTTTGTTTAAATTGAAAATTTCTCCCTCTATTTGAACCCAAAGATAAAATAAATACCTCACACTAACCAAATTTGAGGTCCATTCTAGAAGTTACGTAACCTTGTTTTCTCTGCTTGGATTTTTGGCCTTATTACATATGTGCTGGCCATAACCTCCAGTATGAACCTCAAACTTGGTTAGTAAGGGGTATTTATTTCAGAAGTTGTAATGTTGAAATGTAAACTGTGCAGCCCTGACTAGGAAGGACACCAACTGCAAGTATGTTGAGAAATCTGGATGGTGGGTCATTAGTTATGAGTTTGCTTATCAAGCTTGTTTGTGGTGTGTTTGTTCTCAAGTTCTAGAACAGACAGCTGACAATCTACAAGTTTACAGCTGGTTAACCAAACAACAACATGAACTCTAAAGTTGCTTAAGCTGTCACTGTATTCAGCCAGCTGCTTTTGAATTTTTTTTCTTTAACAATAAATAAAGATGATATGTCCAACTGCATTTTTCTTACTTTCTAGAAGCAAGTGACCTTCAGTGATGACCTCACAAGGGGATGACTGTTATTTCTATTACTACTCAACATGTGCAAAGGTTTGTAGAATCAGTGAACAAAAAGTAATTTAAGTCTTGCACCCTCCTGTCCTTGATAATGCTTGTGCTTTGATTTTTAATGCCCTGGATTAAATGCAGCATTTTCAAGAATGAAAGGGAGGGCAATGGTAAAGTTCTGGAGTTATGTGAATTGTAAAGCAGACAAATGCTGAATTCATGGTGAATGTGCATGTAGGTACATGTACCTTGGCTAGTTTTCAGGTATGCAACTCAGATAACCATGAAAGGATTTGATACCTTTGCAGGCAGGAAGCAAATCAATCAGCTATTGATGTAAGTAGGTGATGAGTTGAACTCAGGGCTGCATATGTAGAGGCAATTTCAGCCAGCCTCACTTACTCCAGGGGTGGATAACAATATCCACTAGAAAGATCTCTAATTAAAATATTTTGGGGTTAAGCACCATGAAACACCAACTTCTCTTAAGTGCTTTAATAGAGTATGATATCTTTCCAGGGAGAGGAATGTCCTTTCCGACATCAACCAGCAGCACTAGGATGCGAAGTAATTTGTGAAGAATGGGAAAAAAATGGAAGATGTTTGAGACCAGTTTGTCGTTTCAGGCATATGTTGATTGAGGTACACATGGGATACTATTGCAAGAATTTTTTGTTATTTGAACTTTTACTTTATACATGGAATTTGATTTTACATGAAGTGAGTAGCAGTTTGTTATTTGTGACAGCTTACTGATACCACTACAGCTATTTATAAAATAATTATTGGCCATAAAACCATTTTACATGAGCGTATGTAAACATGGTTTTCGTTCCTCTTTCATTAGTTATTTTATAAAAGAAATGTAAAATGATTTCTGTGTTTACATAGCCTGATGTAAACACTTGGGAGGTTGGGAGAACACTTGATAAGCTGGAAACCACTCCACTTCGCGTCGTGGTTTCCTACGCTTATCTCCTGTTCTCCCAACCTCCCGTGTGTTTGCATTAGGCTATGTAAACGCGGAAATCATTTTACATTTCTTCAGTGTATATTTGTACTATACTTAGTGGTGCAATACTTCTCGTTTTGTGTTTGTTTTGTAGCATAGCAAAACCTCTATTAAGTGGAAACCCTTGCGACCTTCCCAAATGTCCACTTAATAGAGGTTTGTGAAAATTGCACAATAATTGCTAAAGATTAACATTCAACAGTTACTCTGTACTGTAATAAAGTTCCATGTTGCTAACAAAGCTATCCAGATTTCAAGTTCATTACCTTTCACTACCAACGTTAATTTTGGGTAATAATACAGAAACAAAAAAGCAAAGCGGCAACAATGATATGCATGGTACATTGACTCTGTTTATGTAAAAATTATGTACAGTAGTCTAGTGTCCACTTAATAGAGGTTTTTAGCAATAGAAATAAGCCAAAAGCAATTTATTTTAGTGTCTGTTGAACTGGGGTTTGTTATAAAGGGAATATAGGATGTTAATTTCAGGTGCTGGCTCAGTGTCTGCTTATAAGAGGGTGTCCACTTAATTGGGGGTCAGCCTAATGGAGTTTTTACTGTATTAAGCTGGATAGCAGTGTGGTAGGAGGAATAAATTAGTGTTAAGTAAGACTAAATTTTGTGAAGGCAAGTAGTATTCAGTGTTTTACCTGTTGAATTTTCAAGAATTCCAAGCAATTTTAAACAGTAATAAGAGGTACTACAGGCAGTAAATGTTACCGGTTACTGCATGAAAAGGAGAACACTGAGTATTTATCTTTAAGTATCAAATTTAACAACTTACTGCTTCAGTTTGGCATCATTTTTGTGGCCCTTTAAAAACTTCTCAACTCCTGACAGTTATCATTTTGTTGTGAAATGGTCTCCTTCACCTATTTTGCCATTATCAAGTAAGTTTCTTTCCATCAACAGGAGCGCAGGTCTCGCACTCAATGTTACTGGGAGTCGCAACCAAGTGGTTGCTTGAAGCCATTCTGTCCATTTCTTCACACCAAGCCAAGACCCAATGAGCAGTCAAACACAAGCACTTCAGTTCCTACTGTTTCAACGCCTGCTCAACCCCTCCCAGGTCCACCTATACCTGCACCTCCTTCCTCAGCTGGTCCACAAAATGTCAGGTCAATTCCCACCATATCAAGTACTCCAAGACCGAGACAACCTCTACACCAAAATGTTTCCATAGGAAGACAACCGGTGACACCCATCTCATACCCAACAGCACCCAACAGGCTTGTAGTGGCACCACAACCCCCTCAGATGATAAGGACACCTCAGTATACCGGACCTCCACGCCCAGCAGGGATAGTTCAGCCTGTTCCTGTGGACAGAGGGTTTCCACCTGTACTTCCACATGTTCCAGTGCGATTTGGGAGAGGTGAAGACTTTTTTATAGACGTTTTGTGATACAAGGAGGTTTATCCTCAGAGAAAACTTTCTAACCTTAACATTTTTGAGAGATATGTTCAGCAAGAGTTGCCAATAACACCAAGCTCAAAATTTCCCATGTTCCTTAATCTGATGCATAATGCTTTTGAAATTGCTAATCCTAGCAGTAGGCATGTTGTTTGTTATGAATAAGTATACAGCTCTGCTCAGCTCACCAACAAGTCCTTTGTAGTTTCATGGAAGAGCCTCCACTGAAAAATCCCAACATGGAGCATTTGAATCCTTGTAGAAGGTTGTAACTCCATACTCAGGAGAATTCGAAGGACTGAGATGTTTCTTTTTCCCATGCTCATGTGTAATTTCTTTTCTCAGGCATGCCAGCTCCACAGAGATATCCTCATCTTGTGAACATGTACATGGGAAGACCAGAAGGTATGAAAAATCTGCTTTAAAAGTTGTTTCTCTTTTCAATGATTCTTTGAAAAAAAAAACCAGAATATCTAGTCAATTTATTATATTGTTAGTCATTGGAGACACCCTTCAGCTTCATGGTGAGGGTGACTATGGTTTAATAATTTTAATCAGTTTTTGCGATTTTGGGGGTTTTTAGGCCTTGTTTCCATTTGTTGTTGATGATAGTGCTAAATTGTTAAGGATTTCTCAGCTATGCTGAATGCCTCTTTACATCTGTGTGAGCACAAAGCCTAAATTCAATTAATGTTCCCCTTTTTAGAAAAAGAAGCCAAGGTTGTGCTTATGCAAATATTCTCTTTACTGTTCCCCATACATTCCCTAAGTTGCTGACAAGGAGAATTTGTGAAACAATCGACAGCTTCTTTTGCTGCTGATAATTTTTTTTTATTCTCATGACCTTACTTCATAATTCAGGGGAGACATTTTAAGGAGAAATTAGATGCTAGTCACTCTTAGATGTTAAAGGGATAAAGGAGTTTATGGTTGATATTTTTTAAGTGACATATTTCTTTAAATTTTTCTTCAGGCTCAGCAACATCATTCTTGCCAAAAGGGGGTTTTCAAGAGGATAGATATGACCGTCAAGGTATTATGTCAGTGTTTTACATCTAGTAACTTGAATGAAATTGTTATGAGCTATTATTAGATGTTGGAAATGGCTTTAGAGCTTTAAAAAAGTCGGCATTCGTAGTGAAAGTGTTGTAGGCTTAAGGTAAACAAACAGTGGAAGCCACCTTGAAAAAATAGCTTCGAAGAAAACTAGCAGCTGTATGTTAACCCTTTAACTCCCAAGATCTTCTTAGTAATTCTCCTTACTGTCTGCCATACAAATCTTATGATGTTAGTTTGGAGAATTTGGTAGTAGATCAACTGAATAATCCCCTCACCGATATTTTTCTTTATTCTTGTGATTTGTCTGTAATATTGTTTTGGTATTGAAAGGAGAAATTCTCTCTTGGTCACTTAAGGGATTTAAAGGGTAAAGGAACCTTAGGCTTTATAATGTACTCAGACATTTAGGTGAAGGTTATGAAGAGTACATTTAAATCAAAGAATTGGAAAGTAAGACTTGTGTGTGTCTTTAGATTCAGACTCCTACTCCAGTAGTGGAAGTGATGATGAAAGGAGAAAATCCCACCAGACATCCCGCCGGAAAGTACGTAACAGTTCACAAAGAGAAGTGTTCTCCAGTGACAGGCGAGATACCCGCAATAACCGGAAACCAGGTCATGAGAGTAAGTTAAAAAAAAAAATGTATGAAACATTTTGCCCTCCTCACAGAGGTCAGAGGCCAAGTGTGGTCATAGGTTAGGTAGACCTGTTTCATGACAAAGCAGCATTTAAGCGCGCTTTTTATGAGCACTATATATTTGTCACTGTCATTTTCTCCTCTCTGTTCAGGCTTACTGGCAAAGCCTCGTAGAAAGACAGGATTGTAATATGTTTGCTTATTCTCTATGATTGGTTAAAAATTGCATGCCATCCTCTCTGTCAATCAGAAGAAAAGCCATTTACCAGTTGCATTTTAGTCCCTGTCAGTGTCCTACTCTTGACAGGGTATTTTAGCATTATCAACTGGGTTGATAACGTAAATTGGCCATTGTAAAGAGTTTCAAAGCTTACGTTTCAAGCTTTGGCCCTTCGTCAGAGCAAACGATGAAGGAAAAACGTTCAAAGCATCAGCTTTGAAACTCTTTACAGTGGCCAATTTCCATTAACAACTCAGTTGATAATGCTAAATTATCTTGTTATCCTCCCGCACCGATGCAGCACCACTGTTTCTATAGAAACTTACCCCCTTTATTCATTTCTCCTACTCTTGAGTTCGTTTATGTTATCCACTTTGAGTTCTTTACGCTTATTTGCCCTTACTGACTTTGCGCCTTGGTTTTGAATGCATGTTGTGATTGGTTTGATCTAGGCTTTCAAACAGTTTATCAATGAGTGCTTTGATAGTCGTTAATGCTTTTTTTTTTTCTTGTATAGGGTACAGGACTGGAGATCGCAGAAGAACAGATGGATCAAAAGACAAAAATAAAGATTCTACAGGTATTAACCCTTTGCACCCTTATATCAGTATGCATATTCTCCGTACCGTTTTCTCAACATTGCCTGGGATGCTGACAAGGAGAATTTGTTTGAATCAAAAGCTTCATTAGGTGGTGATCACTTCCTTATTCTCTTGACCTTAATGTTTGATTCTGGAATGATATCGTAAAGAGAAATTAGATGCTGGTCACTCTTAGGGTTTAAAGGGTTAACTCTTTCACTCCCAAGATCTAATTAGTAATTCTCCTTACTATCTGCCATACAATTCTTATGATGTTAGTTCAGAGAATTTGGTGTTGGATCAACTAATAATCCCATGATTGATATTCTTCTATATTCTCATCACCTGCCTGCTTGATATTGTATTGATATTGTAAGGAGAAATTCTGTCTTGGTCACTTCTGGGAGTTAAAGGGTGAAGAATGTCATGAGGCTCTCTCATATAAGTCCTTCTAACATTTGTAAAACGCTTACCCGTAATTTTTAAAACGCTCTATTTTTTTATAGTGGTGAAATAGTATCATGTAGTAGTATTGAACATAAACAAAGGAGCTAAATTTTAATGAATGTATTAAACCAAATAAAACTTCATCTACAAAAATAATATTCAGTGCTGTACATGTAATATTTGTTGTGTTGTTACCTCTTTGTTTTCATATATTTATGTATTGTTGAATTTTGTGTGTGCAGATACGGAACGGGAGAGGTCCAGGGACAGGAGGAGACCATCACGAAGATCTGATAAAGAATCGGAGGAAAAGGAGAGAAAGGACAGTATAGAAAGACAAAAGAGAAAGAAGAGCCCATCGCAGGATGAAAAAAATGAAGAAAAAGAAGAGAAGGAGGACATGGCAAAGGATGAGAACAGTCCAGGCATCAAGGTAAAAACCTTGGAGGAGATACTTCGCGAGAAAGCACTAAAGAAACTTGAAGAGAGAAGAGCACAGGCAAAAAGTGAAGAGCAAAAAGAAGCTGAAGATGGTAAAGAAGATGAAGAAAGTATGGGCAAAGGTGAAGGTGCCAACAACGAAGAAGAAGAAGAAGAGTGTTCTGTTATAGAGTCTGAAAGCAATACTAAACATTTATTAGATGAGAAGGATTATGACAGTGTTGAATCATCATCTGAGAAACCTTCTGTTGCGAGAAAGGTATCTTTAAATGACAGAAAGAGATCCCCTGTCAAAAAACTTATCGGTTTGAAAAATAATTATATCAACAGCAAAAGAAGTAGTAATGCAGATTCATCCTCTGAAGAGGTAACTCTGACCAAAAGAGTTTCTGCAAATTCTGAAGAGAACGAAAATGTGAACGAGAAAGTAACCACAAATGAACCTCCATCGCCCTTTCACCAAGTGAGAGTGAAATCGTTTGAGGAAATAATGCAAGAAAAACGGAAAAGGAAAGCTGAACAAGAAGGCCCTGGAGATTCTGTGCAAGATTTGAGTGGAGAATCGAGCGGACAGGTAAACAGCAGCACTGCAACTGCAACGTCGATTCCACCCAAGAGATTAAAAAGATTGGTTCGGAAATCTTCTGACGATAGCGACAAAGATACCAAGGTTGTGTCATCGTCTGCTGCAGAGACTGATAGCAAAGTCGAAATTAGAAAGAAAAGAACAGTGTATGTCATGGACAAGCCAAGTTCAAGTAAAGACAGCAAAGAAAATGGTATGATTTGAGTAATATACGAGGCACTATGGGACAAAGCTAATCAGATTCAAGGGTTATGTACCACGTGGTACAAATAGGCTAATTACGAGGCCGGATTTGCCCCAGAGATGATTGGTCTGTTTGTACCACGTGGGACATAACTTTTAAATCTGACTAGCCATGTCCCACAATACCCACGTACAAGACTGTTTTGGATTATTTGAACTTTGTACAAAACACGAGTGAGTAATATTTCATGAAAATGCTTATATACTCTAACTTTAGACCATAAAGCTAGGTTATAGAGTCGTAACAACTTGCAAGTCAACCACAAGTCGCTTCGAAATAAGTCACCAAAATGTTTCTCTAGTCGCCATAGTGAGCGAAACGGCCGCGGCTTGGAGCACTGACATATTTGAAAGTGTTACCAAAAATCAAGGTAGAGTATGTAATAAAATGTTAATGTAAAGTTTTGCAAGGCAAAATATTATAACATATGTTAGTTCTCCGTTCTTTTTCCTTTTACAGATGTTACATCCACTGCCTCTAATGGAGAGAATAAGCCACAGAAGGCTAGTGTGAAAAAGGTAACTTTCTTTGCTCGACAGCCCTGAATCGACGACCAGGGTTTTAGAAAGTTTGGCAAGTTCACGGGTTGTGTTGTTGATCACTGTTATAAAGTTTTGCAAGAGTATGAAAATTGCTACCCAGTCTCGGGTGTAAACTGGATGAGTCAAATAGCTCTACAATTGTTCACACATGGGTGGTAAGTTTGGGCACTAAAAAGAACAAAAAAAAGTAAACACAAAAGTAACACTCAGAAAATTAAAGGCTTCAGCCAACGGGACACGAGGTAACCTGCGAGCAGGCTCCGCTTGAGCAACGCGAGCCGGCGAGAGTTGTGCTCCTAGCCAGACTCCCGGCACACCTCTCCCCGATTCGCCTCAAATCTTCCCGTGCGCGCAACAAAGCGCGTACTGCAGCACTACTGAATAATCAGAGCCTGTTCGCAGGCTTGGAATAAGGAAAATTTAGCAGTGAACTCAGTTATATCACGTCTCTGTTCACTTGTTAAAAGGGTTGATCTAAATTTTTTAGGACAAGTGTAGAATAAATAGTTACTCGGCAATTTCTCAACAGCCTGCAGTGGCCGAACGTCTTGGACAACAGAAGGTCAGAGTGAAAAGCCTTGATGAAATAATGGCTGAGAAAAGGCAGCGTGCATCTCAGGAAAGTGTTGAAGCTCCAAAGGACAGAGAAGTCGCGAAAGAAGAAGAGAGAGGACTAAAGAACTCTCCGCAGAGGAACCAACAGAGGAAGCCTTTAAACAGAGTTTCAGGTGAGCTAAGAAAAAAAATTGCAGATGTTTTTAGGATTGCATATGAGGTCAGGCACTTACTTGTGGTCAGAGACTGTTTGATGGTTCATTCTATTAAACGTACTTTTTCTTACAACGTGGATTTATCTCTGAAATAGCTTAACACCAGTAAAGTGTGAAACGAAACTTGCCAAAATATAGCGTGTTGTGCACATATGTAATTAATTTTGATAGGTTACTTACGAGAAAGCAAAACCGTGACCAAATTTCAATTTGAATTTCAGTTTCTGTCATAAAACCAAGAAGAATCAGGGTCTGGGCTCAGGGAACGAGTAAACTTAAACCCACAGAAGGTGAGTTGCCTTTTCATTTTATAAATCACAGCCGTAGATAATTGTTCCTTCAAATGAATTTGGTTTGTGAAGTTTTTGCTCTTTACGACTGAAGTGTTATTTAACAACCTCAAACTCAGTATGCATATTCTCCATACTGTTCTCTATACATTTCCTGATGTGCTGGCGAGGAGAATTTGTTTGACAATCAAGAGGTTCTTCAGTTGATTATCATTTCCTTTATTCTCATGACCTCGATGTTTGATATTGAAAGGAGAAATTACATGTCGGTCACCCTCAGGGATTAAAGGGTTAATGTTGTATTTTAAGGAAGTTGTCTTGAGTAAAAAGTATAGAAATGTACGGCTGACATGATCAAAACGTAAATTTGAATAAAGAAAAGATCAGTTATTAGAGTAATTTCAGATCGTGTGTCGAAAGTAATTAGCGATTGATTTGATTTTTCTTTGCATCGCCATGTGATTGGGTGATTGGTTAAAAAAGCTGACGCCACTTTATCAACCAATCAGGTTCAAAACTAAAACCCGTTCGCTACTTGGTCATTCGGGTTTTTCCGCGCTTTTAATTTAAGTTCCCATTGGCTCCTTGTGGTATTTCCTTTGTTTTTATTGGTTAGTGTGATTAGAGTAGTTTTCTTGTTTTGTTTTATGACACCCAATCGAAAGACGCTCCAAACTGCTTGTACTTACTGTGATTAATCAAACATGCGAACTGTTTATTTTATTCTATGTAGATTCTGTCAGCAGCAGTACAGTTGATGAAACCCAGAAAGATCACGAATCACGGGAACAAGCTCTACAAAGTGACATGGAATCATCAAAGCTACCTGCATTTCAGTCGGAGCCTGCCTTAGCTGAATCACAGCTAAGACCAGCGGATGCATCAGTGGAGGATGAAACACCTGCTCCTGATCAGAGAATTCCTAATAAAGAAAATTGCGCCAAAACTACTGCTTCTGATGGGGAAGCGGGTACTGCACCTAACGAATTCGGTCATTGTACAATCACGGTAGAAGCGGATGAATCTGGTCCAAAGACAACCAAAATAGCTCCGGTAATTCTGGTGTTAACGCTCAATTCGTTGTTCCCTTCTCTAGCTAGACACCTTGACAACCCTTCGACTTCCATAAGCGACAGATTTTATTCTTACAATATCGAGCAAACAAGTATGAGAATAAAGAAAAATATGAATTCTGGGTTTAATAGTCAATCCAATACCAAATTCTCAGAACTAACTTCACAAGAATTCTATGGCAGACTGTAAGGAGTGAAAGGTTTACCTTAAGTTTTGGTTTGATGCTTAAATGAAGCTAATTATTAGCACTTACGTTTTTTCAGGAACCCGAAGAGGCACATGACAGTCCAGAGAAACCTCAACATTCACCCCCAGGTAAAGAGCTTTATGCAGTAGTTACCAGTACGTGTTTTGGTCCCTTTTAAGAAAATTAATGAGACGTTTCAGGGCTATGGACAGTTTTTATGTGGATTTGATCTCGATAACGTTTTTGGTTCCGTTTTTTCCTTTGTCCATGTTACATTTCTCTTAACAGGGCTATAAATAAGTTTTCCATAAGTAGCTGTCGGTGGTTTAATAGGTGGCTGTGCCCGGAAAAAGAGCTTTAAGGCAAAACCGAACACCAGAGCCTGCTCGCAGGCTCAACAGACGGCGGTGAGAGGCCTTATAAGCAGCAGTAGACCGCTGACAAAACGGCTTTTATAGAAAACCCTGCCTCTGTCATAGATTACCTTACCAAATACGAAAGAAAATAAGCTGTTAAGGGTGGATAAAATTGAACCACAACACACTCGTTGAGTCAACTCCGTTTGACCTTCTTGCGCTTTGCGTATTACTTATGTGAAAGATGGTTCATCTCTTCTTCAGAACAACATGATATGGAAGATACAGAGTCATCCTTGGAATACCAGCCGGGTGAACTAAAGGCTTCAAAGGAACCGCCATCTCTTGAGGAGATAAAGCGGGCAATGTAAGCGAATTTAACATGTTTGTACCCCTTATGATGTTGTCAATTTGTTGATGTACATCGAACATTTTAAGTCTCACGAGGTAAATACTATTACCATTTCTGCGAGGGGTTCTTTTGGAATGCAGCCCTTGAGGGGTCGGGGAACGTGGTAGCTTAACCCTCTACGCCCTAGCATCAGTATGTATATTCTCCATACTGTCCTCTAGATAGTTTCTAAGGGGCTGACAAGGAGAATTTGTGTAACAATCAAAAGCTTCGTGCTGATGTTGGTGTGTAAGGGGGTTAAACCACTGTGTTTTCCTGAACCTCTGATCTAGCACGCCTCAGCTACCTTAGTCCCTGAAACTATTATCTTCATTCCTAATTGTTGCGCTTTCTCTTCTTCAGAGCAAACGAAATGGCCAAGGACGACTTTTTCGGCGAGTTCGGCGCGGATATCGATTTCGGAGAACACGATGATGTGGCGGGGGATAGCCTTGAGTTGAACGAAGACGACTTACTTATGGAACTGGATGAAATGATAAATCAGTAGACCTAAAGAATCCATTTTAAGGAAGCTAAAACACGATAAGAATTACGGAGAAATGGGGCACAGGACTGGAAAAAAGAGCGAGTCTGTTTGGAATCTCGAACAGTAACAATGAGTTACCGGCACGTGTGAAAATGAATCGTGGAGTAAATGAATGCAATGGAAAAGTTATAAAATAGAAAAGCAATTGAAATGTACGCATAAGCATAAGAGACCTGCAGAGATAGATATAAGAGATTTTCATGAAGACAGCTGCCATGCTTCGTATTGAACTATCGCATTCAAAATGCAGCATGTTCCAGTTCTCCACATGCGCTCATCAAAAGTCAAGTTTTTTCGAGCAGATCCCAATGGTGGTTGTTTCAAGGACAGCCTTTTATTGAGAAAATGTCAGCTGAGAGCCACAACTAACTGAGTAGCTTTACAGTATTTTCTCCCACCTCTATAAAGAGGATCTTTCGCATTATCTGGCCTGCTCCAGAATTATGCCGAAAACTTTCCGAGTTATTTCAAAGGCCTCCTAAATACAACGGAGTTTGGTGGAAAAAGATGAGTTTGATTGATACAAGAAAAAGCTGTCTTACAAGCACTGCGAAGATTAAAGCGTACCATAAATTCATTTTCTACGTGCGGCTCTGATAATGCAGACCTGTTGTCCTCTTTTACATCTTTTGCTACACTACGTACGCTCGGTTAATAAACAGGTCAGTGTTTACATCTCGCCCTCTGCCTCATCCTGACTGAATGTTCTTGTTAACTTCTATTTGATGGCAGATACTGTCTTGCACCGATTGAAAACTTAAGTTAGTATCTTGTGTCTATAGCGGAGGATAGCGGTGAGTGGCCTTCAACTCAGACGGACTTTGTTAACAAGGATCAATCCAATTTCCAACAGCACTTTGTCAGAATCTTTGGCATTCTCAACAGTAGTCCGCTACTGCAACAAATGTAGTACGCTACTTTTGACACGATTGTCTAGCAGGAAATTTCCATAAAGATTTGCATTTAAAATTGCCGTTGCATGGTAATTGCAAGTGTCATACCACATTGAGACTGGTATCTAAAACTGTGTTAAGAGAAGAAGACCTTGCGGAAGGAATATTACTTGGAAAGTCTCCGACAGTCCGGCGATCAGAACGTTGTCTCTACAAATGGATGGCTTTCTGTCTCAAAAGCCGAGTCCGTTCTGGTATTCAGTGCTTGGCTCGCGTCGATTGTGTCCGCTAGTTACATTCTCAGATGTTAGTCTGGCCCGAATGTGACGTAAATTTACACCACCTTTGACTATTCCCATTGTACCATGGGACTTCATCTTTCTACCACCAATCAGCGCCGTCAGCGGGATCAACGCTTTTTAAGGGAAGACATATGCGACTGTTAAATACGATAGTTGTGATGAAAGATTATAGCTTTTGATGTGAAAGGATTGAGAGAAATCCTGGCTAGTTGTCACCAGTGCGAACATCATACGAACAAGGGTACAGGTCCAAGTCTGAAATGTTATAATCGTGTGTCAACATTTTCATTTTGAAAGCCTGGCAAAAGTGGACATTTTACTAATGAGAATATCGTCTTCGTGGTTATGCGCAGTTATGGTTTAAAGACAGTTCTCTGAAACCTTAACTGCTAACATTTCAGTGAGAGAGACATTTGAATTCTTTAAACAAAACGGAGCTTTTGATATGGCCTCATGATCATGGTTTTTCCTTGAAGACTGTTGGCGGACTTGTCACATTTGTCGCAGGTTCTTGTAGTTAGATAATTTAAATGCTGCAAAATTGAAATCCAGCTGGAAAGTTGTTTGTTGCGCTAACGCAGTAGATTGTCACGCGCAAAGAGTAAGCAAGAAAAGGTGAATTTCTTAAACTGAGTCTGACTAACATAATTAATATGCATATCTTCAATGCGCGTGAAAATCGTTAAAAATTAGTCAAGAGGAAAGGATTGGGTTTTTTTTCCCGTAGGAGACTGTATACAGGTCGTTCTCACATTGTGACAAGAGTTTAGATTTTTTAAGTCTGAAACGGAGTCAGTAATCTTAAGACAAGAGTACGTGTACTTAGTTAAGCATGCAAGACATAGGCGTTGTGCTCTGTAAAGAAAGTTATTGCGTCTAGTCTTCCTGTTTCACCAACACTATATAGCCAAGATACTTTTGTTGTGAAACGGAAGAAGGAAATGACAACCTATTTGGGAGGTTTTGTAAAAGCTATGGGTATTGCATCTGTTTATCGCAATTTTGCTCACTCTCGCCTTTTCACTAAAGGACTTTGGAAGTAGTGATCGCCTTACGTTTTTCTTTTTTTGATTGTGTGGATGACTGTTTGCCTACATAACTCACTTTTTCATGAATCACTGGTTTGCTTGTCAAATGCAATAAAACTAGAAACCTTGGAACATGTCTGTTTTTTTAGTTACTATTCAATGTAACACTACAGTAAACTCGTGTACATACCGTGCACAATGTTATTAGAATATATAAAAATTTTTCTCAAAGCCAATGATCCTGCGATTCCAAGAAACAGAATTGAAACATAATCCCCACGAAAGTCTTTAATAAGATGCATGCTCTCCCCAGACTCCTAAAGCCGTGCAACGTCACGTGATTTGCGTGTCGAATCCCGACAAAACCACGTAACTGCTTCAAACTACGCGAGTTCCCGATATTCCTGCGTAAGGGTTTGGACATCAGGGCTCACATGGTTTGTCACCGAGCACTTTCCTTCCTATGCTTTGCGTATTCGCGGGTGAAAAAATTAGACATTGAAATCGGCAAAGAAAGAGAGGTCCTACGGGGAACTCTATCAGATCAGAGATCATGTGGATAAGGGGTGATAGTAGGGTGGAACCTCGTCTTACAGCCACCTCAGTAGTACAATCACCTCGTTAATACAGCCCCCTTTTATCGGTGCGGCAATATACCCAGACAATTTATTTTTAAAAACCGTGGCTAATACGGTCACCTGTTTACACGGCGAACGGCCATATTTTAAAATCCCAAAAAGAGGATACCTTAATGATTTCACTTCGTTAAAATGGCCACTCAAATTAGTTTTCTGTTCATGAAGTCGTAGCGGGGAACACCTAAAAGAAAACATCCCACGCTGTATACAGTAGGGCTGTTCGTAAACATTTTTTCACTTCCTTTGCAAAATATTTGAAGGATAAAAAACACAATAGCCTCTACTTTACGCGAAAATATGCTTGTAAATTTTTCCTTAGACATGATCTGCTTCTCGAAACTGTACGCATCTTGGAACAGATAAGGGCTGCGGACAAATATCCGTGCATATTTTCGCGCCAAATAGAGGCCATTTTTTACATATTTTAACGATACGTGACATTCACTACAATCAGTTTGAAAGATAGGAGAATTAACGTGATAATCTCCTAATGGTCATGGGGATTATATAGGTCAGTTCTTTGGACAAAAAGGTCAAATGAAAGCTCACAAATCAACAGAAATTAAAAGTTAAGAGTATCAAAATAGGAAATTTTGTCCAAGAATTCTTGTCTCAAGACAAGTTTATAATTTGTTCTTTATTTGCTTACCGCACAAACCTGATGCAAACTCATATCGTGCTCTAATAATTACAGTTTTATTAATCTCTTACACCCTTGAATTAGTTTTCATATTCTCTACCCTGTTCTCTTCACATTTTCTACAGAACTGATCAGGAGAATTTTTTTAACAATCAAGGTCTTCTTCAATCAGCAGAAGATCATTTCCTTTTTAGTGATATTGTAAGGAGAAATGATCTGCAAGTCGCCCTCAAGGGTTCAAGTGTTAAACTTAATTGTCACCATGACAAAAGGTGAATTTATCATTTTTTTTTCATTTCAAGTGTTAAGCTCATACAATAGTAAAATATGCACCACAATGACTCACACTGGAAAATAAAACCATTTTTCTTTTGTGGTCATCAGAAAAGTACCCACAAAGTCAGGTGGATTGTTAGATAAAGAATTGGTCAGTGATATGCTCAAATGACAAATATATCATTTTTTTTAGTAAACTCAAAACCAGAACTTCCCAAAAGTTTGGTAAAGACTGTAAAATCAAATTTTGGCAAGGGGAGGGGACATATTAAATCCACATATTACAGCAAATTGTTGGAAATGAGAAGATTATCAAATCACAAGCTAGCAGGATTGAAACTTAACTCCAAGCAAACCAGAGCAGTTTGTTGGTTGGTGTTATGCATTTGAAGAGAGTGGTACACTTTTCTCCCCCCATACTGCTGGTGACACACCCTAGAGTATCACACCTTACTCCTGTTTAAGATCTGCCATCTCTGGCAAATTCTGCTATCCTACTTTCCTTATCATGTCAGTGTATTTAAAAGGGAAAATACATATCAGAGGTGTAACCCAGTTTTTCTAAGTTAGGGATACAAGCGAAGTTGATCATAGGAGGAGGTCCACACATCAGTATCTGAGTGTCTGGTCCAGGTGGCGGCATGTGTTCCTTGAGCATTGTGTCATTGATGAATCCAGAACTGTATGGCCATCCTTTAAATTGAACATCAATAAAGGAATATTTTAGTGCATTCCTTCATTGGAGTTTCAAATATCAGATGTGCAAATATACATATATCCAATGAAACTTTCATTAAAAAGCTCAGACAATTTGATCAATACCGTCAGGTGGCTTGTCAAGTGTATACCAAAGCTTGAAATTCTCACATTCCTGATCCAGCTCTTCTAACTCGGGTCGTACAAGGATATCTCTTTCAGTCTAAAACCCAAAATAAGGTCATGTTAATAAAAACTTCATGATCGCCAACTTTACATGCTTTTGATTGTTAAACAAATTCTTTTTGTTTGTACCAAAAGAAATTAGTGGAGAACAGTGTGAAGAATATGCATGACAGTGTGGAGAATATGCATGATAGTGTGGAGAATATGCATGACAGTGTGAAGAATATGCATGACAGTGTGGAGAATATGCATGACAGTGTTCACATAGAAAGTGTTAGATGGTTTGCCAAAACTTTTTGGATAATTAGGCCAAAAGTGATCCACAAAAGCAAATTGAAACTTTTATACCTTATCACTGACAAGCGCAGAAATGCAACATTGAAATTCAAGCCTATCCAACAGATTGTTGAGAAGTAGCTGCCCTTTTCATGAACAAAAGTCACATCCACAAGAAAACTAATATGTAAACTATGGTAGCTTGGGTAGGTTAGAAAAGCAAATCAATTACTTAGCTCAATGTGGAAAAGATTTGATGTAACCTGAAAGGAAGAAATACTTATATACCCAGACTTAAGAAGGAAGGAGGAAAGTAGAATTGAAGTTCATGGGAGATTAGACCACAAAGATGTCTTGAATACTTTCCTGAGGCAGATGCACATACTTGGTTAGCAAACAGGAGAGTAATGTTGGTTTTATCTTCACTGTCTTTAATCACTGCACTTATGATCTGTAACATGGGAGTTATGCCTACAGAGCAGAACATAATGAAACTTACAAAATAAACAGAATCACACAACAGAGTACATTTATTTATTACATGAACCCACACACAACTTATCTTCAAGGAGATCTTGGTAAATGATAGCCAAGTCAAGTTCATTTACCTAGAGAACCCAGGTTGAATTTAACCCTTAACTCCCAAAAGTGATTGACATGCAACTTCTCCCAACTATACCAATACATCATCCAGCTAACAGGTGATGAGAATACTCACTCCGGGTAGAAGTTGCTATCTTGATCTAACACCAAGTTCACCTACCTAATTTACAAGGAAAAGTGTAGCAGCTAGAAGGGAGAATTGACAATCAGATTGTAGGAGTTTGAACTAAAAAAGTCAATCTCACATACCAGTTCCCCCTGCAATCAAACCAACATTCTTAGCTGTTCTAAACTTGGGTTCCTTTGCATTCTCCTTTATAGCAAATTTTCCTGTATTTAAAGGCAAAATTTATAACATCAGTCAGTAACTAAAATGATCCTAAATGTTATCATTTCTTTTTGTCCAGATCCAATTGATAGGTCAAGGGTAATGTCTTTAATTATCTAGTGAATAGTCACTCACCCAGGGGGTGGGGAATGTGAACCTTATCTGGGTGGGGTGGAGCATTTGAACTGGAAATGTAAAGTCTTTCCACTTGTAGTACACATGTTTCAATGGAGGAATTTGGAGGTTGTGTCCACTTTTGCAAGCAAATGCCTTGAAAGGCAATTTTTTGCAGTATAGAATGATGCTTACAAGCCAAAAACCCAACAACAGCACCAAAAACTAATATATAACTTCACTAAATTCTACAACATTCATTAATCGCGCAAAGAATTGTGCAATATTGGGTGGGGCAATTGAACACAATTAAGGAGGAAGGAGGGGGTAAGGGGATGAATGTTGAAACTTCAAATTGATCAATGCATCAAGGGTAACAAAGCAAATCTGAAAACTAAACAACTCACCCCTTCCTACATAAGTTAATTTTCCTGATGGTCCCCTGATGTCAACAGTGTCACCTATCTCTAGGGAATCTAGATACTGCGACATTTTGCCACCATCTGGATACTTAGGATGTACATTCTTGAAATAAACCTTAAACAGAAATGAATTGAAAACAAATGAAAGGCAGATCATTTCTCAGATATGCTAAATTTTTTCATGAAATAATTCTTTACACACATTTCAACTGCAAAGTTAAGCTTTACAAAAATTGCCATAGTTGCTCTAAAGCTAGTCAAACATTGCATATATTTTGAGCCAAAAGTGTCCCCATTTTCAGTTTGATTCAATGCATAAAATATTTAGACCATTCATGTGGTCATCCATTTTCAAAGAGGCATCTTTTGACCTCTTTTTGAGCCAATCTACCCTGGTAAAGTTATGTAATTAATCCCAATGTGCTGTAGCATTCATTTTCTATTTTCAATATCTTCCATGCTTAAAAAGACTAATACCTGTATACTTGAAGATCTGTTATAATTATAACCAAGAGAAAAACTTAAGACATGCACATATGAAGAGAGTGGAGATCAAAGATCTGAATGGTTCACCTTGATCACCAGCTCAAAATATCCCACTTCATCGTCAGAGGTCACTGGTGTGTATGGCCTGATAACAAGACTTCCATCTATTTTAGCACTGAGATACATGTGATTACCTGAAACACAG